AACGTGCCAGAACTTGGGCGGGGAAACCCTGCGGACGGAACCCACACCATTCTGACTGCCCCCCTGACGCCACGGACCCGTGAGGTCTGTCTCGTTTTCAGGAAGCCAGGTCCTTCCCACACAGCAGTCTGACGGCGGGTCCCCTAAAGAGCCTTCCAGTGCGTTCAGATTCTTTTCGTCCCAACAGCAGATGGGACATGCTGAGGCCCTGCAAGTGGTTTTTGAGACAATGGTGACCCCAGAAAGGCTGGTGGCACAGAATAAGCTGGATCTTTGCCCACAACTCGTTTGCTGAAGCTTTAACCCCCAATGTGGTGGTGTTAGGCTATGGGACCTCGGGGATGAGGTCGTGAGGATGTGGCCTCCAGGATGGGTTAGCGCCCTTATAATACCAGAGCACATGCTCTGTGTGTCTCCCCTTCACCCTCAAAATGCGTGACACAGGGAGAAGGTGGTTGTCTACAAGCCAGAAAGAGGGTCCTCGCCAGGAACCGAATCAGCTGGCACCTTGATCTTGGATTTCCAGCCTCCAGAACTGTCAGAACACAAACTTCTGTTGTTTAAGCTCCCGATCTGTAGGGCTTTACCGTGGCAACTCAAGCAAACCAAGACAGAGAGAGGGGATTCGAATCAGGAAAAAGGGAGCCGTCACTGGGAGAGAGAAGAGGAAGCGTATCGTGTTCCCTTTGGCTGTGGCGTCCTTCCAGACTGCATCAGCCTGCTTGGCAGGAGACCCTGAGCTGACTCTCAAGCTGGAGTGGGGATTCAAAGCCCTCAGCAGAGAAGTCTCGCTCCCTGGCACCTTCCTCCCTTTCCAGACCCCCTCCTCGCTGCAAGTCGCTCTCCAAGCAGCCCCGGGCTCAGCCAGCACTTGGCTGTGTGAGCACGACTGTGTTTGTCCAAAGCTCTTAGGGACACCTGGAGCCTTGGGATAACAGGACCCGGAGGGAGAGAGAAAGGGGGCTCAGATGACTCCTAAGTTGATGCTCAGGTTGACGGCCAGGCCGCCTGAAGGTGTACAGGAAAGCCAGCAGGGGCTTTGGGCTGGCCCCGAGATCTCAGGAGGTCATGACCAACCCAGAGCTCACAGAACTGTTCCTAGTGCCCTGCGTTCCCTCCCCGGATGTCTCCCTCCACCACCAACAGGAAAGGCAGCGGTGGCCTGGGCCGGACGCGGGGACAAAGCCTATACCCCTCTGACTGTCTAGGATGTCCAAGCACCAGAAAAGAAAATTCCCCTGCAAGGACTGGTGTGTGGGAAAGCAAACAGGGTTAATTTTTGTTACATTTTAAAGACTTTTTTTATTGTGGTACAGTACACATAACATGAAGTCTGCCATTTTAGCCACCATGAAGTGTCCAGTTCAGTGGTATTAACCACATTAACAGTGTTGTGTCACCTCTATCTATTTCCAAAGCTTTCTCGTCACCCCCAGCAAACTCTGTGCCTCTTAACCAATAACTCCCCACAGTCTCCTCTTCCCCCAGCCTCTGGAAACCTCTAACCGCCTTTCTATCTCTATACATTTGCCTATTCTCAAAATTTCATACAAGTGGAATCATGCAATGTCTTAGCATCATGTTTTCAAAATTTATCAATGTTGGAACGTGTGTCAGAACTTCATTCCTTTTTATGGACTGAATGATATTCCGTGGTATGTATGTATAGATCATATTTTGTTTATCCATTCATTTGTTGATGGACACTTGTTTCTTTCCCCTAACTAGTTATTGTGAATAATGCTGCAATGAACACTGGCAAACAAGTATCTGAGTCCCTGTTTTCAGTTCTTTGTGGTACAAACCTAGGAGTGGAACTGCTGGATCATAAGGTAATTCTATGTTTACCCTTTTGAGTAACTGCCATGCTGTTCTGATTCTATGTGTTCCCTTAATATTCATGTGTTGACGCTTCCTGTGTATCAAGAATGTGGAAGGACACAGTCTTCGAGGAGTCTTCCCTCTAGTGATGCTAAGAGAGATACCACAGCCTCGTGAATAAATCCATAAATTCAAAATGGGGACAGGCTATAACAGAATACAGCCATTAAAAAAATGTACAAAAATGGATGACAACATGCAGATGGGATTTACATTGCAGGCCTGAGGGAGGTTTCCCTGAAGGAAGGATGCTTGAGCTGAGACTTGGGGAATAAGCAGGTGTCAGGCAGGTGAAGGACGGGAAAAGATCATTCCAGGATGAGAACGTGAGTGGTCCACACATGGACAGGGAGGACCAAGAGAAGACCGAGACGCACATCTCCAGGCACAGGAAGTGTCTGGAGAGGACCCGTGGACCACACCAAGGACTGGAGGGTTTCTCTGAAGCACAATAGAGACGGGTTTTACGCAGAGGATTGATGTGAACAGAGAAATATTTGTAAAGCTCTCCTTCTTTAAATCTATTCAAATTTCCTTCCAGGATACTCAGGAGTGAAATTTTTTTAAGTTTTTTTTATTGTGGAAAATATCTAACAAAGTAGAAGCATGCAGTGAACTCAGTGGTGGCCAGCTCGTGGTCTGTTTTAGTCATCTTTCCCCCAATTCAGTTTCCCATTCTACACCCCAGGTCACCTTGAGGTTTACCTCAGACATCTATCATTTCATCCCTAAGTATTCCCTGTACACCTTGTAAAAGATAAACTATTTTTAAAAACATGACCCCAAAATCATTATTCCGTGTAAAATATAATAATAAGTCTTTAACATTGTCAACTTTCCAATGTTCAAATCCCCCCAACTAACATATAATTTATCTTTACAGTTTATCATTTGAACCAGGATGGACATACTGCAACGAATTGGAAGCTTTCTTAAGTCTGCTTTAAACCACAGGCTGCCCCTCCCTCATTCGCTCGAACATTCCCTGTGTGACTCCATGCACTAGGCCCAGCACAAGACCGTGCAGGTGCAGGGGAGCAGGCTCCCCACCCAGAGGGCTGGAACCCCCGGTGGAGACTCCCCCACGGTCACAACCCGCCAGAAGCTGGCTGAAGAGAAGGCAGGTGGGGGAGATACGGTACCAGCAGCAACTGGGGATCCTGAGTCTAGACCAGGATCCTCCAGGATTTCTCAGAGGAGGAGCTATCTGCTGCATCTCACATGCCTCTCTTCTCTCTGGAAGCCACAGCTAACCCAGCCAGGAGACCGGGAGAGGAGAGACCACTTTCCCCCAAAGGACGTAATGGTGGGCGTCCTTACCCCGGGGATGACACTCACAGATTCCTTTGTTTTTATTTCCCATCCATTGTTTGATGTCCACACTGCAGAACAGAAACCGTTTCCATCTTGGACTCATCAGTGGTAATGACTGACCCAGCTTCCTGTCTCACCCTTCCCTGTCCGCGTTCTAATTATAACTTCTCCCCTTTGGGGACATCAGGACTGGGCGTCTGCACACAGGGACTTACTTTGAGATGCAGTGGCGTCCAGGGCGGGGAAGGAGCGCACGTGCGGGGCCACATGTCTGCTGGGAGACCTAGGGCACCAGGAGGGGCCAGGGCAGTCTCGCCCTTGGAGCTACTCTGCTCACCGCCCTTGGTTTGCTGGTGCACGCAAAGCAAGCCCACAGTGTGAGGCCATTCTATACCCATTCTATACCCATAAGATCCGCGAAAATGGAGAAGTCTGAGAATGCCAAGTGCTGGGCACATTCACACGACGACGTATGACTCAGTCGTCAAAAACCAATGAGCTTCCATTTGCATACTGTTCTCAGAATGGCAAAATCAGAGAGGTGGAGAACAGACGCGTGGTCGCCAAAGGACAGGAATGCGGTGGGGGCTGGATGCAACTGAAAATTCTTACCCGTGTAAGTTTCTTTGTGATGATGAAACAGCTCTGCACCTTGATTGTGGTGGTGGCGGCATGACACTCTATAGGGAACCAAACTTCACAGAACTACACACACACACACACACACACACAAAACTGAGTCCATGCAAAACCTAGTGAAGTCTGAGCAAGTTCTGTAGTCTAGTTAACAGTACCGTGCACTAATGCTGATCTTCTGATTTCATACTGCATTACAGCTACCTAAGGTGTCACCACTGAAGGAAACTGGGTGAAGGGGTCACGTGACTGTTTTTGAACCTTCCTGTAAGCATTATTGTTTCAAAATAAGAAGATTAAAAAAATAAATAAATAGGAATGAACACAGCGGCGTGCGACAACATGGACCAATCCTAGTGATAATATTTAGGTGAAGAAGGTACATCACGAATGATTATGAAATTGTTTCTATCAAATTAAAATAATGGAAAATAACTGACTGACACAAAAGCAATAAAACTCTACAAAAAGAAAAGCGAAAAAGAAGCAAATACAGGGTTGAATCATAGTTGAAAAGGAAGTCAGGGGGATGAGTTGGAAGGTGTACCATTATACAAACATCTATTCTGGGAATAGACTGATACCTACAGAGTATTTTTTTTACTCCTTCCCATTCAAAACTACCCATTCACAAAGGGCAGCGGGGCTCCCAGGGCCTCTCACCTTCACACCTGTGGCCATGTCCACGATGGAGAGGACTTCTCCTAGGACCAGGGTTCGACCGACAAAATTCTTTGTTTTCTCTGCCTGAAAACACAACAGACCCACTGTCAAGATTTCCTTATGGTTTTCTGACCCTTTAAATTAACATTTTTAAAATAATAAACAGATGTTAAAATTACAATTTAAAAATTCAACACTATAAAGGCAATTTTTTAATTAAGAAATAACCCATCGGCCTACTGAAGTCAAGGCATTCATCCTTTTTTAACGTGGCCATTTGGTCTCTGACCACAGACGAAGTAGTTCAAGGCTCTTACATGATGGGAAGTTGACTGACGGACTGACCTTTGGCCTCGCGCTGCCTTAACCAAGTTTGTCCCTGGGCCACCCCCAAGGTTCTATATAGCAACACAGACCCGCAGCATCTCTGCACAAGCCCTCCCACCATCAGAGAGTCCAGGCGACAATCCTGACGTCAAGACAGAGGATTCGGAAGGTCTGGGAGCATTTTGGACATAGGAAGAGTAATTGTCTTCACACACTTTTCTGACCATGCGCCATCTCAGGGCTCTGATCAAGTTAAAAACCATGAGGCCCAGCCCAGAAGGTACCCTCTTCTCACTTGATGTGCATCACGGCCTCGAATCCCAGGGCTACATGAGCATGCTCTTCTCCACCAGTCAGAAATGAGGCGGGGCAAAAAAACTCACCGTCTTATTTTAGAATTCCAGAGGCAGGTTGCATTTCCTCAGACAGTCATGGGCCCTGAGCGTGCAAGTCCCAATTATCCGTTGTTGGAATTAATGCCAGTCTTCCTGAGACGCCAGTCTCTTTGGAGACACAGCCAACAAAGCTGGAGCCGGTTGCCCACGTGCATGAGTGTATATGGGTGTGCTGTGTGTACGCCTAGGTGCACGTGTGCGTACACGCGTGTTACTGCCTCACCAGCAGCAGGAGGAACCGACCTTCCTTGGATGAATTTCAATTTCCACATTGGCTTAGGCTCCCTCCCCAAGCACACTCTGTTCTCCCTCCCGTAGGTTTTTACGACGTTTCTCTCAAGCATTATTAATTTTATCAAACAACAGACTGTCAAGATTTATGACTCTTATGATGGCTCCAACCCAGTGCATCTTGTATTGATTATTTCCTAAAATACCTCCAAGGCTAGAGCACGTACCATTGCCTGGCTCCAGCTCTGGCTCACAGCAGAGAGTTTGTGACCAGCAAATAATAAAAAACAACTGTAGCAGACACTTGGGGGCTTTTTTGGAGGGCCCCTGGGTCCCCATAGTACCCCTAACAACTTTCCATGAGGGGCTGAGCAGGACAAGAGGTGTAGACCCCGTGTGTGTAACAGATGGAAAACTCCAGGCTTGGGGAGGTCAAAAGACATGTCCAGCCAGGGTCACCCAGTAGTAAGCGGTACAGCAACGGCCAGAAACCAGATCTTCAGATCCTCACTTGGACCTCTCACCCCCAGGCCTCAGTGCCCCTCATTGTTAAGCTGGAGGAAGCCCCAGGATTCCAGATGGCCCAGGCCACCCCTATTTTGTACCACCAGCCTCGTCCCCAGAGAGCACCTGACACTAGCACATCCCGGTGCCCCTGTGATCTTGCTAAGAGTCACCCCCCCCACATCATTACAACAAACCCTTTCTCCCCTTAAACCACCTGCTCTGCTACAGCCAAACCTAAACCCTCAGGAGTGAGTCAGTCCCTCAGACTCTCCAGCAGTTCACAGTTTTCTTCCTATTTCATTGTCTCCACTTGCACCGTGGATGAGGGAGGGTGACTTTGTCACAGCGGTATGCCACCGTGGTCTTTTCACTCAATGGTTTGAAATATATTGCAATCACATTTGCTAAAGAACCAACTCCAATTTTAGCCCTCTTGGAGCATTATAAATTGTTTAGGACGATTATTTTCCCTCCCCAGTCTCTGCACGGGACAGCGATCTTTGCTATTAGATCCAATGGGCAAAGCCGTAGGAGTTGGCCATGAAGGCACGGCTGTTGATTTAAGCATTTGGGCTGGTCTATTTCAAGACGTCGAACAAAAGTTCCAGAACTAAGAAGAGGCTTCACTTGACTGATTTCCTTACTGTCACATATTTTTAACATCCTCTCCACACATAAAGTCTCTCTTTCCTTCAATTCTTCTCTCATTTCTCATCTGCTAATTATTCTTAATTAAAGAATGTCTCATATCGACAATTCAATTGGTAGCATACCGAACATCACGATCGACCAGTCACTAACATGTTTTTTGGCATTCGTTTTTGCAGTGTTTCTACTGCATGCCTGCCTTCATTTAAACTTGATGTATTCACACCAAACTTAGTTCCCACATCAGGATGTTAGCCTGTAATCATTTTAAATGATAACAATTCCACAAATGTCTGGAGAATAGACTCAACCTTGTATTTTATCTTAAATTGTACCTCATGCTATTTACATTTCTGCTTAGTAAGTTGTCTAAAACAGAAGGAAAGTAGTTTTCCCTCCCTCCATTTCTCTGCAGAGCACTTGACATATCAGACCCTTGTGATGCAATATTCTGTCACAAATCAAATTCAACAAAAATGCCTATTTTTGGTTTTATAAGCCCAGACAGTCTCTGAAAGGCAAATTTGCCCTTTTTTTAGAATGGCTTTAACCATGCTAGGTCTTTTGCATTTCCATATACATTTTTTTTAATCAACTTGAGAATTTTGATCAAGGTACTAGAATACTTTAAAAATAAGTATCACTTTGAGCTTCTCTGCTTCCCCTGCCCCACCTACCACTGAGAAAACCCTCCAGTGAGGCCAGTTACCTTTGCAAAAAAAAACCCCAAATTTCTCACTGAGGCCTCCTTGCTGTCTGGCCCTTCTTGCTCTCTGCTGTTCCTTATTCTCTGCTGACTCTCTGCTGGGGCCACACAGCGGGGCTGCCTGAGCAGAGACTGGGAGAATTCTGTCACGAAGGCTGTCTGTCACCATTGTTCTTCTGTCCCCCCCAGGGGCCCAGACTACTCCAGCGAAGTCCAGGACAGGAACGACGAAAAGTGACATTCCTGTGGCTCTGTCCAAAGGCATTTTTCATCGGTCACAACTTCATTGCAGTATCATGCCAGTTTCGGATTTTCCAAATTCTTGCCTTAAATGTAATACCACTTTTCTTGGTAGCACATGCTTCCTACCAAATTCCTAGTTGCCTTGGACATTTTTCGGGTTATTAGTGTAATCACATAATGTATCAATATTGACAGCATGTAATGATGAGTTTATCATAGTGACATTGCCAGCCTGATGCATCAGCTTACTCTGCTGTTAATGGAAAGTGCATTATTTTACATTTACACTGACTTCAGTGGAAAATAGTGGTTGATCTTGTATCTTGCAATTTTGCTGAATTTGTTGATCAGTTCTAACAGTTTTGGGATGGAATCTTTAGGGTTTTCTACATATGAGATCATGTCGTCTGTGAACAGAGATAGATTTGCTTTCTCTTTTGCAATGTACCACACTTGATTTTTATCCCCAGCATCACCGACAACCATCTGACATAAATGTACTTTTTTATTTGTTTGTTGCCTGTTTTCCCCTAAAACATAAGGTCCACAAAGCCAGTACTGCCTGCTTTGTTCAATTCCTCTTGAACTACCTCATAGTAAATGCTCAATAAACAATTGTAAAATGAATAAATCACCTCAGTTGGCACATAGAAGGGACTTAGCAAATGACAACAAGTAATAATTATTGTTATTTCTTTTTATGGAAGTATAGTTGATTTACAATGTTGTGTTAGTTTCTGGTGTACAGCATAGTGATTCAGTCATATACATATATTCTTTCATTATAGGTTATTACATGATATTGAATATACTTCCCTGTGCTGTACCATAGGACCTTGTTGTTGATCTACTTTATATATAGTAGTTTGCACCTGCTAATCCCAAACCCCTGATTTATCCCTCCCTACCTCTTCCCCTTGGGTGACCATAAGTTTGTTTTCTATGTCTGGGAGTCTGTTTCTGTTTTGTAAATAAGTTCATTCGTCTCATCTTTTTTTAGATTCCACATATAAGTGAACTGTTATTTTTAACATGATATTGCAATGCAAGAATAATAATTATTCCTTAAAATGAGACGTCTTCATTATGCAGAATGGTTTACAGTGAAATAAATAAATAGCACCAGGAGTCTTCCCTGGGCAGGTCCCAGCTCCCTTCCTAGCACGCCCTCTCGAGTAATCCCTGTGGCCACCACAGATGACAACTCAGTTCAGGTGCCAGTCTACCCAGAGGAACTTCTGTAAACAGGCGCTCTGTCCTGTCATCTCTGCTCACAACCTCAGTGGCATCCCACGGGGCAGGGCTGACCTGACAGAGTGCTGGCCAAGTGGCTGGTGTCCAAGTCATGGGGCTGGAGCTGGGACAGGGCCTCCTGCCAAAGGCAGCATACAAGACAGAGCCAGGGCCAGCCTGTCACGGCCCACGAGGGAAAGCCTGGGTTCCAGTACAAACAGAAGCCAGAGGGCCGAGGGCAGAGCTGAGGCTGTGGTGGTGGAGCCAAGGGCTCAAATTAGGTCAGGAACCAGTCCTGGGGGGCGGGGGGGTGCCAGGGAGGTGCCCTGGATCACAGCACTGATGTTGCCAGGCAACAGGGCAGGCCGGGGAGGGCGGGGCAGCAGCAGGACAGACAGCCTCAGCCTTCTGGCATAGTCCCTGCTCGCCCCTTTCACTGCTGCATGCCAGTGGCTTCAGTTTGGCTGCTTCCTGGAAAAGCTGCAACTTTTCTCAGGGGTTAATGAGGAAAGCAACGCCTTCCCAACCCCTGATGCCTTCTAAGTGGAGCTGACTCTAGAATCTTACTCCAACCAGATCCGATCACCCACTGATATTCCTCCAAATACAAAAAGGAAAACCATCCCAAATGGACACTATCTAAAATTCTGATGGAAATAACAATTATAGGATAATAAATACAAACACAAATCCGCCAGTCTCCTGCCAATTCCCCTCCAAGCTGATCTGAGAATGGGGTTCGAGAAAACAGCGGATAATTTCGATCAGCAGTTCTCAAACTCTGAGGTCTCTAGACCCCTTCAAACTCTTACAAATTATCACAGATTCCAACGAGCTTTTGTTTACACAGACTGTATCTATCAGGTTCCCATCCTAGTAATTAAAGCTGAGAATTTTTAAATACTTATTCATTTAAGAATAACAATAATGAATCTATTATGTGTTAATGTAAATGACATAATTCTCATAAAAAATAGCCATAATTTCCAAACTCCCCCCAAAAAAAGTCAATGAGAAGAACGGCATTGTTTTGCATTTTCACAAACTGTTTTAGCATCAATCTTAATAAAAGGCAGCTGGACTCGTCTGCTTCTGCCCTCAGTCTGTTGCCATATGTTGTTTTGGTTGAAGCTTATGATGCAAATCTGGTGTCATGTGCACAGGCAGTTGGACATGGTAGTACCTGAAAAGGTCTTGGGTACCACCAGGGGTCCTCAGACCATACTTTGAGAACCACTGGTTTAGAAAATAATGATGCTATGCTGACAACAGCCCATGTGGTCCACGGGGATGAGGACGAGAGGAGCTCAGGATGGGAGAGATGGTGGAGGCGCAAAGAAGGAGTCATGGGCAGAGCGGGTGCTGCATCATCCAGACACCTGTCCCCACTCCTCACCACACTTGGCCAGGGATAGCTCAGCCCCACTGGCTCCCTCCTGGGGAAGGGAAATGCTGGGACGGAGCATCCCTGAACCATGATTGGCAGGAACCAAATGCTGAAGGGGAACAATCTGGGGAGACAGTACTGGGTGCTGGGAAAGAAGGACAGTGCAGCAGGACTCAAGCCAGGACCCACACAGGATCACCTGAGAGGTTCAAATGCTTATCTGACTGACGTGACCAAAAGCCTGGACAGCAGGCTGGAAAGCTCCCCAGGTGATTCTAATGTGCCTCCTGGGGTGAGGACCACCGGATGCCAGTGGGCTCAAAAATCCACCCACCTGGGTTTGAATCCGTGCTCCACTGGTTACACACACAGCTCACTAGTTGTACAACCTCTAGCCAATTACTCAGCTTCAGTTTACTCATCTATAAAATGGAAATTCCATTAGGGATGTTTTGAATATTAAATGAGAGCATCCATTTAAAGTTCTTAAGGCAGGGTGAGGGATAAATTAAGGGTTTGGGATTAGCAGATACAAACTACTATATATAAAATAGAGAAACAAGGCCCTACTATATAGCACATACATTCAATATCTTATAACCTATAATGGGAAAAATATGAAAAAAATACATGTATGTCCGTACACTTTGCTGTACACCAGAAACTAACACAACACTGTAAATTAACTAAACTTCAATTTAAAAAATAAAAAATAATAAAGTTCGCAGAACTGTGACTGGCACAAGATACGTATTTAGTAAGTCTGAGCTGGCATTGGTTATGGTGACTTTGGTGCAGGCCGTCAGCCTCTGCCAGCTTCCAGGGACGAGTGTCTCTGAGGAAAGTGCCATACAGACAGGACAAGGGAGGGGCTGAAGGCCAGTCCCAGCACTGCCACGAAGCAGATGTCCCAGCTGCATCCTCTGTCTCCTCATCTGGAAATTCATGGAATCAGAGAGCCCACCTACCCAGGACCCAGCCCTGAATCCCCAGGGAGAGCAGAAAAAGTGGGTGGGTGGGCATAAATGTGATGTCCCTAGAAACAGGTGCAGGAGAAGTGACAAGGTGCAATGAGGTTCACAGTGTGTGTGTGTGTGCGTGTGCGTGTGCGTGTGCGTGTGGTGTGTGTGTGTGTGTGTGACTCTGCAGTCAGCCTTAGATACTGTTCTCCTTTTTAAATTATTGAAACATCTCAAATCTACTGCAGATGACAGAGGGAGAAAGGCAGAGTGGAAACATTTTAATGGCTTATTCTTAGCCTGTGGGCTGTCCGTCATCGACACCTGGAAGGGAGTAGGCCTGCTCCTCGATCGTCCCCCAGAACACCATCATTACTCATTTCGCGCAGCAGTCTGCCTGGACACCAGTCCAATCAGCCCCCAGAACTGTAAGAGCAACCAAAACAGGGTCCAGGGAAAGATGGAAGGACCTGGAACGCTCTCTGAACGGGTTGTACAGCCATGACTCAATATTTTTATGAAGAGGCAGAATGAATCATGCAACACTTCTTCTAGAATTTCTGGACATGGACGAGCTCCTCCAGCTGTTCACAGGGTGGAACTTGAGAGCCTTCAGACGCAGACGTGCAGCAGAGTCTCAGGACACCCGCCCGGCAAGATGAGCTTACAGCCCCAGTGACGGACGACCGACGAGTTTAATTTCCTTCAAGTTCATGGGCTTTTGCAAATTCGCACAGAGTGACGCGCCAACCAGGCTGAAATAACTAACGGGAATGAGCTGGAGAGATGGTCTAGGGCCAATCTTGTGCCTCCCAGAGGAATTACACCTAATCATCCAGGACATAGCTGTCCAGGCGGCTGAAGACCAGGAAGGGAGCCAGGAAAACAGGAAGATAATTGGATCCAGGGCTTAACACTCTCCATCGGGAGCGAGAGTACACGGGCTAATCCTTCAGATGCAGGGGTCGGGCAGCAACGGGTAAACCTCATTAAAGGATCAACCCTCACATCCGGGTCTTGATTACTGACACTAAGTTAAGCCTTAGACATGTTGGGCTGATTAAGGGAGAAGGAGACGGGCCCACATGTCAGGATCTCACCTTCCAGCCAGCCCCACACCGGATGCACTGGGAGGCCAGAGTCTAACAGAGAAAGTGGCTAAAAGCACAGAGGGATGGGGGTTTGTTCTATGCGTCTGTTTGCTGGTTGGTGAGTCGGTCAGTTGTACGTATCTCTAAATGGATGTTCCACTGAGAGGCAATTTACTAGCTTGAAAATCGCCTTTGCCAGTACATTTCACTGGGTATGAAATGATTTTTCAGGCTTTGCAAGCATGCTCTACCCAACTATGTGGGCCTCTCCTTCCACATGCTCTCCGTCTAACTGTGGCACCCTTGTCCTCGTGGAGGTGGCTACAGTATCTCAGTGGGAGGGACCAAAGCTCTGCCTGCAATTCCTTCCTGACAAGATGCTGAGTTCTGTCCCTGCCTCCTCGGGACACCCAGCCAGCGGAGGCAGGAGGGTGGTGATCTAATATCAGACATGGACCTCAGGCCCCCACCAGCTCTGATCCACAGAGAAACGTGCCTTCCCCAACCCTGCCGTGGTCTCCTGAATGGGGAAGACCCCATCGCCTCGGTCCTCAGACTCTCCCTCCAAGAGTACAATGGGCAAGGAGGGGGCCAGGTTCACTGCAGAACATTTTCAGCATTTCAGCATCTACCAGGCTGAAGCTTAGCCCTGCTTCAGGCCCCTCCCCAAGGGGCCTCACCAGGGGGTATATTTTGTTTCCTACGTAAAGTGTTAGGTTTAGAGAAGCCATGAAGCTAAATGAAATGGAAATGGATTTTAACTTGGCAAAAATACAGAGCTCTTAATGCTAGCATCACAAAGGAATTCTCTAATCAGATATTCTTTCCTTCCTTCTTTCTTTTTAATGAGGTTAAATCGACTAAAATAATTTAACTGGATTTAGAATGGCAATTTTTAGCCAAACAAGACTCATCCATTTTGGACAAGTCTAAAATGCTAAAGAAAGCTCATAAAATGAGTTCATTACATTTCTCAGATATTTGAATTTTATGCCCCAAATTATATTTGTTTTGTGAACAAATATTTCATCACCTCTGCCGAATCCCCTATCCCCTAGCCTGCGAGCTTGGGAGAAGTAAGTGTCGATTAGGTTAACGGGGAGGGGGGCAGGCAAGGGTTGGGAAGGAGGCGCTCCCCAAGACTGACAACCTTGTCTATTTCCCCCGGGACAAAATTCGTGTGCTTCCTTCTACAAGTCACAAATGCAAACAAAACAGAGCAAAACCTGTCTGTCTCTCATTCACTCATACACATTACACCAAAGTAACAGTGAAACTTACCTGTTCCTGAACTGCACATTTTAACAGAGGAAGACCCATGGTAAACTTCACCCTCTGAGATGTCAAAGCTCTCATTTCATACAGACTTAAATCATACCTGTGACGAATGGACACAAAATGAGTGTTAAGACGTTGGATTGGTGGGGACTGTGAGTAGAGCCTTTGGACCATGGGATCTGACAATCGACATCTTCACTGGGTCTCTCTGTAGCTCTGCTTTGATATTGTGCCTCAAAGGAGGGGCCCCCGTGTGTGTGACACAGACTACGCGGTCAACATGGGGGTCAAAGTGGAAGGGAAGGAAGAAGGGCTTCCTGATAAGACGACCTTAAAACAAGGCTCTTACATCTCCTCTACACGTGTCTGAGGTGGGGTGATGGGGGAGAAGGGGTGACCTGCGTGTTGGCCCCAGGATGTCACTTAGAGTTTCCTTTGAGAGAACCCGCAATGGGGAGCAGCATTCCCAGCAACCCACGGCTGCCATACCTGGGATTTGACCCTGGCATTGGCCTCAGTCTACTTTGCTCCCAGGCTGCTCCCTAAGAGGTGAAGTGCATGGCAAGGGTCTAGCCTCAGGCTGCCCTGCCCCACAGGGGACTTCTGCCCAGGGACACTGTCCTTCCAACTGGCCCACTCAGACTGTCTCACAACTGTGCTGTGCTTTTTCTCTTTTATATAATAAACTTTTTTATAATTATCTTTCTTATAGTTGATTGACAATGTTGTGTTAGTTTCAGATGTACAGCATGGTGATTCCGTTATACATATATATACATATATATATTCTTTCTCAGATTCTTTTCCATTATAGGTTATTATAAGATATTGAAAACAGTTCCCTGTGCTGTACAGAAGGTCTTTGTTGCTTATCTATTTTACATATAGATTTTTTACAAACTCCTAATTTATCTCCCCCACCCCCGCTATCCCCTTTGGTAACCACACGTTTGTTTTCTATGTCTGTGCTGAGTCCTTCTTCTCCCTCATTTCACGGTGTCAGCTCTGCCTGCACACATTCTGAACATTCTCCCACCTCCTGCAGCTCCGCATCGCCTCCCCCTCCCCGGCTGCTGACACTGCACAGATGTTCCTCCCCGGGCCCCCCATAAGTCACTTGCACATCTAGCCCCTCTTTGTTTCTCATCAAACCTCAAATGACACAGGAGGGCTGCCGCCTAAAATGTTTCAATGCAGAGCACAGTTGGAGGCTGGAAGAAACCTCACTCAGGTGGGATTCCTGACTGTCACTAACTGCGTGACCGCCATCAAATGACCTGCTGTCCCCGGTGCCTCTGTCCTCTCACCTGTGAGATGGGAAGCATGACCCTGCATAACTCAGAGGACAGTCACTTCAGACGCTTACACCAGTGCCTGCACATGCGTGGGAAGTGCTCATGAATCCTAACTGCCGCTCCTCCTCTTACAAATCCCACCTTCTCCTTCAAGGGCAGGAGCTGCTTCAGATCCATTTTCCAGTCCCAGCACCCCCACCAGGCCTGGCCCACGGGAAGCCCCAGGTCATGCAGCTGAATTTAAACTCATTCAGGTCCTCAAGTTTCACAACCCAATCCTGGAGACAGTGTCCCCATGGATGCCCCCAGGACATGCCTACAACACACACTGTCCTGATGTAAAGTTTACTCCCAACCGGAATACAAACTGCATGGGTGCAGAGTCCAGATCTTTGTCTCCTGTGTGGCCCCTGGGGACCAGCACAGTACCTCGTATCTAGACATTCTCCCTAAACACCTGCTGGCTCATTGCCCCAGACCAAACAAGAACCAACTCAACCATATTGGCTCTCTCTTCTTCTATCCAGTCGTCAGTTAACTGAAAAATCGAAGAGGACCCAATGTGCATCCTGGAATGTAAAACATAATCCCCCTCGCTGCAAAAAAAAAAAAAATAATGCTAAAGGGACACAAAAACTCCCTAACAGAAACACCTGAGACAGGACAGGCCCATTCTTCCATTGTTCGTTTTTTGGTTTTGGTTTTGGTTTTTTTTTTTGAGTCAGCACCACTGGTGGGGATTTCAGTACAAACATGACTGCATAAAGTCAGCATTTTCCCTAAGGAGAACAGAAAATTAAAATGCTATAATGCTATTTTCAATAACACTGGGCGTCTGGAAAACTCTCCAGATTCAAACATACAAGTAAGGCCAGCCCAGAGCATCTGAGTCAAGCAGGACTGGGGCAGGAGGACATGGAAAGAACCACAGAAAGATATTCCACAGCACAAGGACTAAATGGTGGCAGATCTCAGGAAATGCTGGTGAAAATTCACTTCCTAAATGGAAGATCCACACGCTGAGGTGTAAAACCTATAGCTCTCCTCTGAAAGGGCGGGAGAGGACCGGCGGTGGGCTGGCAACAGCCCGAGGCCCGCGGGTCCCTGAGCTGTAGGTCTCAGGTCAGGGCAACATGAAGAATCATGGGCCATGTCTGACAGAAGCATCCATCTCTGCGGCAGCAGGGAAGGAAACAGGTTCTACGCTGTGAAAAGAACCTACCGTGGATCACCATCCGGACTCCACTGGCCCCCCAACCCTGAAACCTCCCTGAAGAGCCAGGCCAGAAATCATTCAGTTTCACTCACATGTTCAATTACACAGAATAAAAAGAAACCAGCACAGAATTGATACAATGACCCTCAAAAGAGCAGCAAATCTATTTAAAAAAAAAACCTAAAAGTACTCATCAGGGGAAAATAAAAATTGCACCAAATAAAAATTGTGGCCAAATATTATCTACATATTAAATAAAACCAGTGGAGTGTTGGAGCCAGCTTCTATCAGAGCACGAGATGCAACTGTTAAATGTGAAAGAATTTTTGTAAACTGGTTGTTAAACACAGCCATTATCCAAAATTAACCTTATACAAAGTTACACTGGAAGAAATTATATTTTAAAATAAAGGTCATAAGCACTCAAAGCACATCACTTCCTAATTATTTGATTATATTTTACTGTTGTCTATG